AAAGATCCAAACTATACAATCAAAAAGTTATTAAACTCCCTTTCCCATTCTTTTCTGCAGAGGTCTTGAGGGAGGCTCTTTCCCAAAGCTCCCCATCATGACTTCCTCCTCATGACCATAATTTTGGTTCCTAATTCTCTGAATGCAACTGCTTCTCCCTCCCATCCAGCAACTGAGTGCCATTGTCTTGTGATCATTGAGTACAACAAACTATCTCTTCACCGGCGGAGTCATCTTTTTTCTGTTGACCTTGTCACACTAAAACAGTAAAGCATGTTTCAAAATGTTCTTTTCCCTGACCTCCAGTGAGAAAGAGGACCACCATCATTTTCTTGATAGGTCTGCACCATCTCCTCCATATACTTGAGTACAGTTACTAGTGTATAAAGTAACTTATGAACCAGAATCTTTTTTTGTTGCTTTCAGAACAGCAGAAGGCAATAGTAACCCCCTCTCCCAACCTGCCCCTTCATATATGAGAACCATAAGCTGGACAGTTAGCCTTCCATTAGAGTCAATTGTGAATTTTGGAATTGAGCAATTAGAGAGAATTAAACAGGTCTGTAATTTGTTCACAAGACTCCACTCTGGTGTCTAGGCACCTCAACAGTCAAATTTCAATACCTGCCAGAACTCTTCAGTTTACAGACATTGTTCTAAATTCTACTTTCTTATGTCTAGACTCTGAAAATAAACATAGATTATGTTCTTCTAGGTTATGGGCACTGCACTGTTTTTCATCTTGCCCTTGGAAAGATGTTCATCCCAGATAGCTTTCATCATACCCAAACCAAAATACCATAAATCTATCCCTAGTTTATTCCCAATAGCATTAAACATATGTTAAAAAGAGAGAGCCAACTCAAACATTTGTAATCTCTGAAATGTTGAGTTATTTTTTAACTTGAGACTCATAAAAAGAATAAGGAAATGAAACTTCAATAAGAAAGATTAATGTGATTAAGATTTATAAATATGCTAATAGAATTCAAAATTTGTATGTAAATATAACTGAAGAGTGACGTGTCTTTAGACAAGTATATTCAAAGTGGTAAGGAAGTTCCATAGAGATATATAATGTCCAAGAAATGTTGCCCATGTTTTTCAGAGCAGTTAAATAGCTTTATTTGAATGGTTAGCCATTGAAAATCCAACAAGCAGTTGTGGAGTGAGAAAAAAATCCCACACAGTACAAAAAGAGAAAGCAAACCACCAAGGTGAAAGAGCAGGAGTCTTTCCTCTGCCTCTTCCGGTGGAGGCTCCACTCTCTTGATGCAGTAGAAATACTACCTGAAATCCAGCCTTATTTGATTTGTCTGTGTCTAATATATTTCACTGATAATCAGATATGAAGTTGATTGGTGTTGTCAGAGTTCAGCCCTTATCTTGAATGTGAATTCAGTATAGTAAAAATTAGACCAACCCAAGTGCCAAAAGATGTTGTCACACGGTTCTGCTCTGGCATGAACTATAATTGCTTAACTTCTCTAGATCTTGTTTCCTAAGTAGGTACCTTTACTGGAAATTAAATACTCATAAAAGTTGGGCACGAGAGAAGCCTCTGTTGACCCTGGCTGATGTCCTTGTCCAATGTGTACTGTCTATAGCTCTGCATGGCCACCCCAGTATCTGAGCACCGCAGGGTACTTTCCAATACCTCACAGCATCACAGTGTCTTCAGCCTATCTTGGCAAAGAGTGTAGGGCAGTGGACTAAGCCTCAGTGGCTTTCAGACTGTGAAACGGCTTCATTTCTTTTATTTGAAATATATAATAGGGTGAGATGATATGGATTTTTTTATGTCTTAGCAAATTAATTATACATTAACATAAGGGCATACAAATAGGCTGTGAAGAGCAGTAAATTGGTTTTGAAACCACCAAGATATGTCAAACCATCAGTGTTAAATAGAGACCTGAGTAAATTTCCAGTGTTGCTAAGCAGTAACAGCTACACATAATGAAACATCTCCCATTGCCCTTAGAGCATTAAACAGAAGACCCTGAAGTTATCACAGGAATACCTACATTTAAATGTAGACCATGTTTCTCCTTATTATACCTTCTTTCCCAAACCTCAATCCAACAGGATAATCAAACTCTTCCAAAAAATATCTTCAGTATACCAGGATACATGGTCCAAGATTATTCCTGTCATGGTCACAAAAGTCTACCACAGCAGTGAGGGTCAGCAAGTGCAACCATAGAATCTGACAGACCAATCCTGAAAATCCCCTTAGCCACTCTCCATGTGTGACCTTGAGGTGGCTATTTGGCGTGTGTCATTTTCAGACCCCTCATGGAAGATAATAAACACAAAGTAGGATCATCGGGAGAATACAGAGACAAGACATGGACAATGCTTACCCAACAACTGTTAGTCATTTATCATATTTACCCCATACAGGGTTTGCTTACCGAAGTGTCTAACTGCTCCATGTCTTAAATTCCCTAACTGTAGTGCACATTCAGTAAACACAAAATCTTTCTACAGTACTTTTTCCGAATGTTTCCTGTGCAGTATACCATATGTTCCACAGCAATGTAAAACTCATTTTCACAACCCTAAAACTGTAGGTGTATTAAGAACCCCCAGTAGAGCCAAACACAAAGAAATGGGGTGGTGCTTTTGTCATTTGATTGTCTTGGAGAGATTTGGGAGTTATGGCTTTTGTGATTTTTTTTAAAGGGATGCATGGTATTACTATGTAGTTCAAGTTGACCTCAAATTCACACAGTCTTACTGCCTTATCCTCACAAGTGCTAAGATTACAGGCATGTTCCTCATAGACAACAAGATTATGTCTTAATTGGGAAACCAAAAATGATTAAACTAGTGTCATGACTAAGGGGAAGGAATGGTTGAAAGCTTCCATGTGACTTTTTGGTGGGGGGGGGGGTCCCTAGAACTAGGCAATGGAGTTCTGAAATGAGGTATGAGGTTGGGATGCCAGTGAAGACACATGACAGCTTCAAAAAAAAGTATCACATCTTGCCAAATCTTGGATGAATCTGAGACGAATACTATCAGAGGCTACACAGACCTCAAAAAAAAAAAAAAAATGGGACTCTTGAGAAGGCCAGAGAGCAGGAGGAGCCGCAGAATCAGAGCTGGGCTCTGTCCAGCTCCATGTGGTGCAGCATCACCTAGAAGTGAGAGAAGACAGGAGGAGGCAACCCTTAGTGCCTAAGAACAGAGAACAAGTTTTCTCTGGCCTGGAAGCAGCACCATTTTAAGGAAAATATCTTCATAAGTATAAGATAAGGCTACAAGGATCCTTTTTAAATGTCTCTAAGAGACAAAGAAGAGGAGAGTTGGAGCTCTTTGCCTGATGAGCAGGAAATTTACTAATATGGAGTTAAGAGATACGTGGTTACAAGATTAATTTATTTTTCAACTTATCAAAGCCCCTGAAAGTGAAGCAAGCATTCTTAAACTTGAATATGGCATTTATGACTGTGAATATGACCATGATTGCCTGAAGCTAAATAGGAAGAGAACGAAAGAGGCCCTGAATGAGAAGCAATGAACCCCATCTTTCTGTCTGCATGCACTAAGGGGATGTGACTGGTAACACATCAACAGTGACAAGTTCCCAGACAAGCACCCCCAAACAAGTACCCCCCACCCACACACACTGCACAAGAAAGTGACTTCAGAAAATGGTCGAGTATTGGAGATGCTAAACTTGGAGTTGAACTGTTGAGCTTCTGTGTGAGTTCTAGTCAGACCTAGAAGATTCCAGAGTTAGCATAAGTGAAACAGTCATAATCCATTGTTAGACAACCTCCCATATAAATATACTCACACCTTTAAATTTTATCTCTAAGACCTTTAAGATGGTTAAAGGTCATGCAGTTTATATAAACATTTTAATAGGAGTTGTTCTATTTTTTAAAACAGTCTAAATGCCATAGTCTGGGATTTGTCTTTCTTTAGCTTTCCATATTTGACTGAAGAAGCATCAGCCCTTTAGATCAGCCCTGTACCAGTACTAAATGGTACTGTCTCCACAGGAGGCAGAAAACATCTCCTAGGAAATCTTTGTCTATTGCTGTGATCAATTTGAGTGGTAGAAAGGGTTCCAAATTGACTAGCGTCATGACTAAGGGGAAGAATGGTTAAAAGCTTCCATGTGACTGTTTTATTGGGGGAGGGGCATGTATCCTTCTATGAGTACACTGTGATTTTTGTAAGACATTTACTACATGAATCTCTCTGACATAACCTGGTGTCTTAGTTACTTCATCACTTACATCATCTGGGGGCTATTCACATACATATTTTTTGTTTCTTACTCCTTAGTTTTCTAAATCTATACTAACAATGTAGTCAGGAAACCTCTGATCTTCATGCACTGAGAGGGCAGAAAGCTAGCCAACTGATTTCATAATTTTGTGGGGAACTTCCTATTAAACACTTTGTTTCTTGTGCTTTCTTTCATTTGGGTATACAAATATAGTATTTAGAGCTGACACACCATGGTCGTAAAGTAAAAAAAGACTGTGCTCAAAGTTAGGCCCTGGACATCATAAAGGAAGTAGCCCCACTTCCCCTACCTTCTATTATCTTCTCTTTTACAGCGCATAAAACAGGCTGACCCCTGTGCCCTGAAAAGCCAGTTATATATGTATTGCCTGTGCAAGTATATATTATAAAAACAACCACAGAAGGAGTCACAGACTTGCTCAAGTTCATGCAGATCAAGACAGAACCAGACTCCCATTGAGCATCCCCCACTGCCAACATCAAGAGCTTGGATTTTTTTCTCTTCTAAGGGTTGATGAATAGCATCACATGACTGTGAGGTACAAGTCATTCTCCATATCATCAAAAGCATCACTGCACACTCTCAAACACAATGTTCTGCAGCAAAAAAGGCTAGAAACGAGTCTTCGAGGACCCCATGGGGAAGGAACGAAGCACAGTGTCTTTCACTTGCATATTTGTCCATCCAACACCCCCAGGATGAAGGATGGTGTCAGTTCAAAGTGACTTACCCAAATCTGAAGCTTGATTCTCTTTTCATTTTTGAATACAGTTTTGACTTTGAAATCGATGCCAACTGTGCTGACAAATGCAGATGTAAAGGAGTCATCCGCATAGCGGAACAGGAAAGATGTTTTCCCCACACTGCTATTGCCAATGATCAGCAACTTGAACATGTAGTCGAAGTTCTGGTCAGAAGAGGAATCTTTCTGGCCGAACCGGGCATCTTGGGCAGAGGCCATCTGCAGGGAAGCAGGCATGGATCAGTGTCCCATTTGATAGGAAGCTAGCAGCACACTCATTATTACCCTTGCCAGAAACAGATGTCAGGGACTCAGGAGGCAAGTACAGAGCGCTCCCCAATTCCCCTCTGATACTGGTATCCATGGCAATAATTCCCAGCTGGAAAAGAAAACAGCAAATCTTACAGCTCTCTCCAGCTGTGTTGGTACTTGTCACAGCTCAGCATTCACAAGCAATCAAAGACACCAAAGGCGACATCTCTCAAAGCAACATGAAAAGCAAAGATATGAGGAACTGGCAGGGCATGCGAGCTCTGAAACTTTGTAATCTCAGTGAGGGGGACTCCAAAGTGACTGAGCAGAGCTTATTCCTGAAAATGAGAATTATTACTCTAGAAAAAAAAATTCCAAGCACATCTCTATTTTATCTAATAACACCATATCATGTCAGCATCCCAACATAAATGTCAGTCTCCTTAAAATTAAAAATAATGATTATGATACATTTATATGGTTCAAAATGTAGCAGACACTGTTCACCTATTTAACCCTCTTAACCACAGGAGGTGGGTACCTTATCCCTACTAAAATGAGAAAACTGAGCTTCAGAAATATGAGATAATGTACTCAAATTTATACAGATGGTAAGTAGTAGAGGCAATTGGTGCCAGGGAACAATTCCTGACCTCTGACCTATTTCCTGATGACATCTACAAAAGTAAGTGCAGTAAGCCAGATGGTCATGTGGGAGGCATTTCTTGACAAAAGTATGGTGAATCCTACTTAGGTTCAAGCATTGTTTCTGTTACTTACCATCTGTGTGAACTTGTTTTTTTTTTATTTTTAGTTTTCCTCATTTTATACTTGTTTTACTGTCTGAGAACTCTGTACATGCATGCAATGTGCTTGTTTTATTTTAATTGATGTGTTATAGTTTCTCTTCTCATATGAAGTGAAAATGACACAGTACCTACCCAGAATGCTCATGAAAGTAATAGATAATAGATCTATAAATCAGATCTATTACTCAGTAGAGACTAGAGATTGGTTTCTCGTTATTTATAAATACTTTAGGTAGATGTTTATTCTTCCTCATCTTTGTGATAATTTTAATATCTATCAAAGTGTCATTGTATCACTTCTAAGTACCACGAGCTCAGAAGAGAAAAAAGGCATTTTGAATGATGAGTCCATTTGTTTCAGCACCTTTCTGATGCTATGAATTATTTGGCAATTGTTCTCCTAGTCAATGTGCTAGCCACTAAGCACATATGGCAGTTCAAACTATACTAAAATTAAACAGAATTTAAAATGTAGCTTCAAGCATACAATCCCCCCCCCCTCCACACACACACCCAGAAGCTAGCGTACTGGGTAGTTATATACAAAACATTGGCATCATTGCAGCAAATTCTGCAGAAAATGCTAGGCTAGACAGTCTGTTTCCCACAAAAAGGTGGTTAATATTTTTATATCTTCTCTTGAAAAACACTATGAGTTTCGTGATGATGTTCCTGCAATGGAAACTTGATTCTCCATCTGAGGTGGTAGGAACTTTAAAGGTGGCACCTAGTACAAGACAGGTCACTGGGAACACTATTCTCAGAAGAGAGTAATGTGAATGCTCAAGGGTCCTCGGTGAATTTCCACAGCAGCATGTTGTTACAGCAAAAACAAACCTGGCTCCTGAGTCTCTCTGGTTTCCTATCTCACCCAGTGATCTCTGACTCTTACATGTATTTGCATCGTGATGGCATCCACATTCCATGATGCAGCTAGAAGACCCTCCCTAAAGGGCTTACAGAGGCTAACACCATGTATTTGGGCCTCTACAATGTGAACTCAATATGCCCTGTTTTTTAAATAAAGTATCCAGCACCAGGTATTTTGTTGCAGAACAGAAAATGTAATAATCTTAGAAGTAAGAGTATAAAAGAAGGTCCAGCAAGGAGTAGACTGCCAAAAACAATAAGGGGTACTTGGGCTCATCTAAGACACCTAAGATGATGTTAATTGCCTGAAGCCAGGAGAAACAGCATGGAGGAGGGATGTGAAGGCAAATGAAAGGGGGGGAGGTGAGATGAGAGAACATACCACCCTTCTACACTCTTATTGGCAGCAGAAGAGTGCAATTATTTGTAGAAAAGTAACACAAAGGGGAATATCTCTCTGTATCACAAAAGTGAAAGGTGATAAAGACTCTGACTGAACTTGACACTGTCTAAACTGATACACACTTAAGCATGTCATGTAAATCCATTTGATATCAATGATACATCCAGGGAATGGTGATGACCAATAGGGAAAGTTTGCTAGTGTGTGAACCTGGGCCTGCAAACAGGCAACACCACCTACCCTGGTAACTGTGCAACATATATGCTCTGGTAAGTCTTACCTATCATTGGCAGACAATGGTGAAGTTGGCTCAAAACCTATCAATTTAACAAGAAGTTTCTTTAACAATGAGTGCCTTCCAACATCCTAATAGGAAAGAAGTTAGGTTGTGGGTTTTGTTGTTGTTTGATTTTTTTTTATTTTAGCACTGACATTCCTATAAATAAATCCCTTTCACCAATTATTAATGTTCCATGAGATACCAGTCCTGCAGGTCTGCAAGTGTTCTTCATTAACAAGGTCTTTGGATATTTTGTCATGAGCCAGCTTAAATTCTGGACCAGGATTTAGGATATACAGCTAAGTTACAGTCCAAATGAGAATTTACACTTTACAAAACTGCTCAGCCTACTAACCTATCACATTCTGCAGCCTGGAGCAGTAAAGAACCATGTCAACAGGGTTGTGTGTTCTCCAGGCTACCTTAAAAGAAAGCATGGGGCAGGATACCATAAAGTTATATGGATTCTAAAACTGAGGCATTAGTGGCATCATGAATATGGAGAGTTTTAAATGTAATTGTGAGGATTTAGTTGGAGACATAAGGTTTACCTAGGATGCACCAGCTCTAAATTCAAGGGCTAACGCAGTTTGTGTGTTGTGAGTGAACCACAGGATGAGAGGGTATTCAGTACTGTGGAACAATCTTTTTGTATACTATGAATATGTACTACTCTCATTGGCTAATTAAATGCTGATTGGCCAAAAGCTAGGCAGGAAGAGATTGAGCTCAAGAGCCAGACTAGGAGAATGATAGGAAGAAGGAGGACAGAGTCAGAAGAGTCACCAGTCAGATACAGAGGAAGCAGGAGATGAGTGTGCCATGCTAATAAAGGTAATGCCATGTGGCAGAGTGTAAATAAGGAACATGGGCTAACTTAAAAGGTAAGAGCTAGTTAGTTATAAGCCTGAGCTGTTGGCCAAGCATTTACAATTAATATAAGCATCTGTGTGGTAATTTGGAAGCAGCCCTCGGGACAGGAAAACTCTGCCTATAACTCAGTATGAGGGCAGTGGTGCTGAGAAACTATGTAAATCTTGAGGAGTTCTCCTGATGGCAGGAATTTTTCTTTTTTCTTTTCTCATTCTTTCCTTTTTTCTTTTCCTTTCTTCTTCCTTTGCTTCTTTAGTTCTCTCTTTCTTATTTTTAAGATAGTCTGGTATGTTGTCCAGACTGACTTCAAAGCCTTGGCTTCAACTTCCCAAGTGAGGAATGAATTAGAAAAAAATTCCAACTCCATTTATTTTTAAAGATTGTTTTTCTTTTTCTTTGTCTACTATTTCCTCATTTATATCATCAGTAAAATTCACTAAGTCACAAGAGTTTGTCACAAGTGTATGTGTGTTTTGTAAAACTTCAGAATAATGAAATCAATCTTGGCTATAAATATGAGAGACAGATTTAATGTCATTAAGAACAGAAATTGGTGTGTTCACTCTACAGCAGCATTTGAATGTCACTGGGGCTTATACACAGGCGCTATGTAAATTTACCATCATAAATACTGAGTTGTTTGAATGTCCTAGAAATCTTATAGGAAGATAGAACTGAAACTTTAAAACATGGATACGTGGGCAATTACCTAGTAGACAGCAAGTCAGATTTTGTAAAACAAGCCTTTACCCAAGGCCAGGGCAGGGACATGGGGTCAAGTTCTCAGGCATTTGCACACAAAGACCACAGAAATATGATTCTAAAGGTTTGTACCAGCTTCTGTCTTGACCAGCCACCCTTCTGGTATTGTAAGTCACTGTAGGCACTATCAGAATGTGAGGGAGCAACCCTGTAAGAAGCCGTCATCATGTGCTCCGACATGTCCCGGTCATATCTCCTCCTTATTCCATTCATCAAACAGCACTGTGTTGGACACTCATCAGGTCAGGACCGAGTTGTCCATGCATTTTTAAGACAAAGAAATGTCTGAACCACCCTTGAGGAACCTGTAGTCAATGCACTTGTATTTCCAGGTTGCAGAGTGGCACCAATTAGAATGAGTGACAAAGGCATCACTGCTTTGCATGCAAAAGCTACTATGACTATTGTCTCTATAAAAAATAAACTCATGCCCATTTATACATGCACAGCCATCTGCCCACCTGTGCTTTGGCTTATCCCTTTTGTCAGTTGTCTCACTGAATCAAACTTTCAAAAGAATGCTGCCTTTTAATTCTAATATCATAGCTAAGGGTAGTATGAGAATTTGCCAACTGGTATTTAACACATCCCTTCTTTAAGCTTGTTAAGGTTCATCAGGCCACGTCCACTGGAATAGAAATTATTCATATGCATTAGATTACAAGATTCTCAGGTGGATAAGATGAGATAAGTATGGGGTCGCTGACAAGTCACACAAGAATCTTTGAAGGGCTACACTTAACCTAACAGCAGCAGACAGATGAGAGGCTCCAAGACTCTCCAAAAGTTACCTTATGATTTTGTTTTCTGGTATGAAAAGCTATGGGTGTAGGAGCTAAATAGCATGGTTCCAGATTTTTATCATGAGGCCAAGTAGATACAAAATACTATTATTTAAAAATCCTAGTGCTATATATACACCCAATCTGACTTAGACTTGATAACATTTGCTAGACGCCTGGACATCTAG